AAAAAAACTATCTTTTCTCAGGTTCTTATATGAATTCATATATATCAGTCTTTACACAACTCCTTGGATTCAATTAACTATTGATATATAAATTACTTATTATTAGAGACAGATTGTCAAGAATAACAAATTTACATAAGGATTTTAAATCAAATAAAATATTCAAATAATCACAAATTAAAAAACCCTGAAGATAAAATATTTCCTGATCCCATATTTGTTTCAAACACTAACAGCTCTTACACTCCATATTGTGCTTTCTGTATACAGCAGTGCATTATTTAAGCGTTCAATCTCTCAGAGTTCCATTCCCTTTATGTTGGATTTTTACAAATTACATGTCAATTTCTGTTCAACTTGCATTAAACACTTGAATGGTACAGTATGATATATTCCACTTTATATTGTTGTGTTTGCCTTTTGAATGACAGTCTGTCAATTTTCACTGTACCTCACCTGTTTTTGGTCTTCTGCATAATACAATATATATATTTATATATAACTACTATGTAATTTTCCATTTCCACACTCACAGCTGGTCTTCTGCATCATTAAGTTTAACCCTTTCAAAATGGTAAGGCATGATCTGTTCATTCTCATAAGGAATTTAAAAGTTAGCATTTTCCTGACTTAAAAATGCATTTCAGATAGGTACTTACCTCTCTGAACCACTAAGAGCTATGACCTCATGCACAACTGCCATGGAATTTCCTGCACATGCCACAAGCCTTGAACAAACTTCTACCCCTACATGTGTCTAAGTGTATTGTGCCAGCCTATGACATAATCATCATAATGCTGCAGCCATCCACCAACAGGAGGATGACATGACCTCCATGCATGGTAATCCCCATGAGCACTAGCATGTGATCATAGCCTCATCTTTGACAAGGCATAGAAAATGATCCAGAGTGAGGAGGTGGTGTCAGAGAGGTATATATCTGAAATACATTTTCAGATATGGAAAATGTTAACTTTAGAAATTCTACTTAATTCTCTGCACCAATAAGAGCTAGAATCCCACACTGATAATGGTGGAGGGCCAATGCTGAATCATTACAAAGATGAGCTCTTTTTTGAATTAGCAACAGAAATGGAAAGTCCATGTTGTGTTACTACTATGAGAGTGGGGTTGACTAGTAGAGCAACACCCGGTGGAAGACTGCATCCTATGCAAGCAATGAATACTCTTTGCTCAACACGTTGTTGTTTATTCATTCATATATTACATTTACATCACAGAGAGATTTATAGTAAAGAATATTGAGTGAATTATGTACCAGTGGTAATATGTCCCAAAAGTGGGTGGAATATGAGAATGTATAATGTGGCTAAGACATTAGGCTTTTCCACTTTGGTGAAATACTTAAAGGAGATAGATACTCTAATGAAAGGTTGAGGGAGAAAAAGCTCACACCTGTATTCCATGGCAAACTCAAGTCCCATTTGACTGAACATATCCCTGAGAATTGCTTGGGAGATACTGTAACAGGGTGCCTTGTACTACACTTTCAGAAATACCCCAGCCCTACATCTCAAAACAGGGGTGGGCCCAATCAGTCATTGAACAGGGGTGGATGGGCCTTCCATTCTTCCTCAGCTCAATGTAAATATTGTAAAGTATTCTCTGTGAGGCAATGCCAGTTATTCAGCAGGTTTTGATGGCACCAAGCATAATAAACATAAAGTAGTTCTTCATGTTAGACTTGTTTCACTAATTTTTCTGTTTTTGTTTTTTGTTGTGGGACTTGCAATGTGTTGGAATGTGTACAAAAATCATGGTACCATGAGACACATGAATGACATGGAGATAGCTGACAAACACAATAGGTAAAAACTCACCACACCAAAGCCTCATGGGAGGAGATGCAAAAAAGCTTATAGTCAAATTCCCCCTAAGAAGATTATGCAAGACAGATGGGTTGGCAAACCTAAACAGTTAAATTGAAAGAGGACAAGTCCCAAGAGAAGGAGTTCTGCTAAAATAGTTTCTACAAAAAAAGAGTAGACTGAGCAAGACAGCAATGGACAGTCTGTACAGGAAACAAAAGTGAATGGGAATGGGCAATTGTAAAATGATGAAACAGACAGAAGAGAGAAAACCCCCAATCACCCTCCTGGGCACCCCAAGTCTTTGGAAGAAATGACTGGGTTGCAAACAACATCATCTGGTCCCTACGTTAGAGAGTAAAGTTATCTATGGTGTAAATGTCTGAAAATGACTACCACAAGCAAGAGGAAGGAGAAAATACATATTAAGAGAAAAATGATACAAGGAATAGGAGATCAACAGCTCAAAAAGGGGTAAATAAGAGCCCAAAGAACCAGACAAAGGTCCTAGCAGGGGAAAGAGACCAGACAAAGAGGAGACAAAAGGAAGAGGTTATTGTCTGGCAAGAGGTGGTAAGTTGTGGACATTGCCCCATGGTAGAAAGACACAAGAGACTGAGGATCAAGAAATATAAAACATCCATGACGTGTGACCATAGCAAGTCACAAAGATGAGTAGAAAAAGAAAAATGTGGGACTATGTGAAGTTAGGTTAAAAGGAAAGACATGAATTAAAACAAGCAAAAAGAAATTATGACATACAGGTAAAAAAGATAGAATGTCACATACCTGATTCAAGAGCATAGCAAGCACAAAAAAAGTAAGTACCTGTTCATAATCAGAGAGAAATGAGCCAGAAACAAAGGCCAGAGGTGGAACAGATGGTGAAATTTGTCCACAGACAAGGCAGGCTACACAGAAAGTAAAGAAATAAAATGACTAGGGACCTGAACTGGAGAAGAAATAGGCAGAATGGAAACAACCAACTATATGAAAGCAGAAACATCATCAGATAAATTGTTAGGACACCATGGTTTATCACAGCTCATTAAGGTTGTAGAAGTTTCCATGATATGGAAAGTACCTCACCACAAAGTGAAATCTGAGGCCTGTTACATGCAGCCATGTACTCTACTGAGGGATAACAACTGAATGTCAGGTCCATGAACAGATAAAGTACCTTCAGTTGACATTGAATCAGTTGGAAGATATGTCTGAAAAGGAATGACCCAGCATTGGGATATATATATATATATATATACACACACATATCAAAATACACAGTAGTGTGTCTTGCAGCCAAAAAACAACCAGCAGGACACACTGTGTGTTATTAACAGGAGTGATAGCTTAGCAATTTTCCACCTTCTGTAGCTCGGACTGTGGTAATCCAAACTATCAGATATTTTTAGTAGATGTGCTCCACTGGACTCTTATGTCATATGCCAGATTCAAGATAATCCAATAAGAAATACCTGAGATATAACATCCCCAAATGTGATTGACTTTCTTACTCTTTTTTTCTTTCTTCCCATATAAATTATGAAAGTTTTATTGGATAGAAAAACATACTTAACTTTTATGGATTTTTTTCAAATTTGGTACACTGATAGATCTTTACAACACACAATTAGGAGTCTCATTCGGTGTAAATATAAGGTACATGTACAAAGTTATTCAACAAAAACCTTTATAATTTAACATAAACTTTGCATATGCCTAGCAAAAAATTATGTGAGCTATCGGTCTAACATTTTTACTACAGCTTCACTTAAAAATGGAGTGTTTTAGTTTTTTGTCATTCAGGTTAAAAGACAGCTGATTGAGAGCAGCAAAACTATTAGGTGAAAGGACGTGCAACTCAGGTGGATGGTTATTGGTTTACTAAATTTTATGAAATTAATTAAAGACCATTTAGCATCACGTATACTAAACTTAAGCAATTAGCGTAAATAATGATGCTTGATATGACTGTACAAATTGCAAGGGGGTTATGACGAGAAACTATTAATCTAAATTCCATGGTGTTCGTATAAAGGAAGTTATTAACACTGTTTTAGAGTGGAAAAAATACCACCATATATTCTAAAGAATCTGTTTAATTCTGTAAAAGTTTGTTCCAAATAATAGGGTTGCAATCCTAAAGCTAATATAGGTTACTATCATGCGTCACTTTCTTATTTGGTGTGGTTTGTTGGTGTGTATTGACAAAAGGTCATGATATATAATCAAAAACAACTTAAGTATCAAAAAAAAAAAGGTGTGGCTTAAAGGAATGAAATCAAAATTGGCAGCCAAACTGGTAGCTATACTTATAGCATTGGTGGATGAAACAAAAGTGCAACAAGGACAAAAGCAATGTAGCATTAAAGAAAGAAAGACAGTGAATTAAGGTGACTAGAAACTCAAAAAGCACAAAAGAAAACACATCTGAACACAGGCAGTGCCAAGAAACAAAATGAGTCTATTATGATCATGTGCTAGTGCTTACATGTTTTACTACACATTGAGATCATGTCACCTTCCTATCAGTGGAGGGCTAGAGCATTATGACGTTTTTCATTATAGGCTGGCACAATACACACATATATGGGTTGGAATTGTTCAGGCTTGTGGCATGTGCAGAAAATTCCACAACAGTTGTGAACAAGCTAATAACTCGTAATGGTGCAGAGAGATAAGTAGTTTTTTTAAAAATTTTACACTTAATATCATATAAATACAAACAACTAACAGGATTAAACTTTCTTACTGATATGTTAAAATTTTTAAAATCTAGGACACAGATGCTTTGAGGAACAAAGTTTGATAAGTTTGACAGTAAAGATTGTACTACAACAAGATGTAACAGTGTAAGATTTTTTAAGCCTAAATGGGGATTTGTTCTTAGAAAGAATAATCTTTAACTTGTTACTTTTACTTTATAATCAGATAGAGTGGTAAGTATGCAGATAACAAATGTTTTCAAAGTTCATGCACCTGCGGCTTAACTCACCAACAGACAGTCTGTCAACATCAATCTTCAAAATGCTTTTTAATTCCTTTTTTGTCATATTAGCAGATTTGCAATGGATTTCTCCCCCTTGAATGCCAGTGTCTTGTCTTCTCTTTGATAATGCTACATTTTCCATACCATCTAGTTTAGCTGGAACATTAAACTCCTTTGTCATATTTGTCTGACTACCATTTTCAATGTTGCTGTAACTAGACGTCTTCATTACGTTCAAACACCTCTGGTGTTTCTTCACATTCAAATCCACAAAAGAGAAATCTTCACTGGATGGAGCAGTTTTTTTAATGTAAATATTATCATTCACAGAATTAGATAAGATTTGCTCCTGTTTTACATGAGAACTAATACTTTTATCTGCTTCTATAACACAGTTGTTTGTCTCTTCATTTTGTACACTTTTCTCTTGTTTTTGCAAAAGAGATATTTGGCTGAATTGTTCCCAGTAATCATGCTTTTGTTTGATAGCCAAAAGTTTCTCCTCAGGACCAAGGTTGCTACGGAGAATGTTAAGTACAGACTTCAGATGTGAGTCACCATACAGTTCTGAATCAGACTTAATATTATGGCGTTGCTGGCTTCTCAGGATTTTCTTTTTGGAAACAGTATTTGTGCAGCTTTTATTATCATGATTTTCAGATGTTTCTTTGAGGAAATTTTCTTTTTTTGTTGGGTAATGTGGACAAGATTCAGACTTTCTTATACCTTTAGTTGAGTCTCTTTCTAAAGTCACAAAAGAAGATTTTGTAATTTGATTTTCGCATTCTAATACTGGCTGAGTTGTCAAAGAAAGTTCACTTCTCTTGTGTGAAGATGCACAGACTGGTTTTGCAGATAATACTGCTGTGCTAGTTTTTTTCTTCGCCGCTGTATTTCTTTTATGTGACTCTTCCTTTCTGGTCACTTCCACTTTAGATTGGCCTGATTTACTAACCCTGTTATTTGGTTGACTCAAATGTCTTGTTTTTTCTTGTAATTTGGATTTTATATCATTATTTTTTTGAAAAAAATTTGATGAGGGTTTTCTTGGACTAAGAAATGTTGGAATCTTACTGCTTAAGGAAGGTTGTGCACATCTACTGCTGGTCAGATCTCCCAAACTTTCTGCCTTAGCTAGCAATTCAGCTCCTTTTTTCCAAAGTGGATGAGAACGTACTGCTCTTTGAGCTGCTTCCAAATGAGATGAGGGTGAGTGGGAAGATGTATTACCTTTGGTTGGATTTGTTATTTCATCTCTTCTGCTGAAGAAACTAGACCTACTTCTTCCAGTAGGGGTTTGGTATAATGGAATTTGCTGACTTTGGGTTCTAGCAGTAACATTCTGTAAAGCAACTGAAGCTCGAGAAACCAATGTTTGAGCTCTACTAACAACCTGTGCAGTCAAACTGTTATCTTGATTTATGTGTTTAGAATCTTCTTCTTTGGTAGGATGCGTAGAGCAATTAGGATTCACAACAAGCTCTGGAAGTGAAAAACAAAATTGATTGGTAAAAAAACAAACTTATATGTACTATCACCAATTCACTATGTATAATCAGATAAGCAGTTGAAAAACTTTAATTGGTAATATAAATTTATTTAATATTATGAATTTTATTAGTGATAAACTTATGTACATATACATACCATTTTTCCCATGAAATCATGCACTACTGAAGTGCACATGTAAATGTAAAATTTAAATAAGCTTTATAAATAGATAGCTTATAAGATAAATATTTTTATAGAAAAAATATATTTACAAATATGTTCTAACAAATCAAAATGACCAAGCTTCACAGTCAACATCATGAGGCTCGACATTATGATGCAGTCATTTTTTGCCCATAACTAGATAAATGGTTAAAACAGTAACTTAAATAACTGTGCATGCAGCATATTCCAGTAATTAAATTTCTTCATTATATCAGCTAATTAATCTGAATTTTTGAACATATTCAGTTTAATACTACAGTTTACACAATTTTATCCAGCAAAAGAAATGAACATTCCCATGCTTACATAATGTACATGTACACTATACTCTTAATTAGCAAAAAGAAATAAAAAAGCTTGTGAAAAGCTAATCTATGCAACCACAAAAAGCACAAGAACAGTGAATTTGTACATAGCAAGTGTGTGTGTGGAAGGAAAGCAAAAGCAAAATTTGTTGAAAATGACATCTGTACCTCTCACAGTTGAAGGAGTAACCATCATGAAGTGTAGGTCATCCTAGGACTGAAGAAAAATTAACAGAACACTTGAGAGATCCAACTTACAGTGAAATCACAGATATCCATGTGATGGATCAAACACCCAACATTTATAACTCATATATTTGTTTTGTCCAAGATTCTGAATGATAATTAGAACCTATTATTGAACATATTCAATCTGAACATTTAAAGAAATAGATAATTTATATACATATAAATGAACATGTATAATTACAACGTTCAAAATAAAATGAGATTACTAGTTCCTCATTTGGCTCAGATATGTGTTTACACACAATAATAATTAAGACTAACTATGCTAATTCAGTTTGTAAGTGTAAAGTGAATGCCAATAAAAAGTATATAGAATAATTAATTATTAGCCCTTTTAAATTTTTTTTCCCTCCAAGAATGGGAGGATCCAATAACTGTGGTTGTTACTGTATCATATAGGATAAATATGTTATATTAAAAGTGATTCTGAAGCCTCACCACCAAATTCTGGTGAACATTGCCACATCATTCTTGCTACATCTGATGACTGCAGCATAGTTTCTATTGCAAAAACATTCCTCCTCCTTGCATGCTTTCCACAATCCACCTAGTATATGAGAACAATGGTTACAATTGCACAGAAATTCATAGGTACTGTATCTGAAGGCTTGACTGATATATATAAATGTGAAATATCATGAATACTCATTTCTTTCTCCAGCTAATTAGGGTATGTAATATTTTAACTTATATATCATGGAAGCAGCTTATGTAGCTTTTCAAGGCAGTGAAATTCTTGATGATGTTGCTTACCATAGCCTGGGGCACGTGGATGGCTTTTGCAAGTATTCTTTGCGTGTGTGGATTTCTCACTTGTTACAAAATGCTGCATTCTGCTTACCACAGCTCAAGTAAAACCTGGTGTATCTTTATATGGTTGGTCCTGGCTCCCCAAGCTGATCAATATTCCTTTGTTTTCAAATACCATTAAGTACAAAGGATATCCCTGTCCTGAAAATTCTAAATCCTTAAGCACAACTCATCTTTATGACCTGAATGTAGGAATATTTTGTGTCAGAAAGGACTCTTACATACACATCCCACAAGTAATCAATTTTTGATGATATCACACTACTTATGAAATACCAAATAATGTCAAAATATAATTATGGTACAATCTGTTTCACTGTTACTTTATAACAGTTGTGATTTTCATGTGACCTGCTGATTTGCATATTGAAAATCATTTTAATATAATGTACAACAAAACCTCGACATTAAGGGCACCCTTCCGACTGTGTCCAAATGCCCTCTAACAGCAAGGTGCTCTTAATATCAAAAATGAGCCACACAAAGTTCATTCCATACTGGCCGTACTAAATTTCTGAGTTTTAAGGCCCAATTTTGTTTGGTGTATGCCGGACATGGGTGTTTGTGAGTTGCATGTTCCCATGACATGGAGCATTGTCAACAGGAGGTGGGTTAGCTGTGCCATTTTTTCTTTTCTTGAGAGCAACAAAGCTAGCACACAGAAATAAGCTGACTTGACCCAAATTCTGAGAACACGATCTGGAATTTATCAGATTTTGTATCCTACAGTGTTTACAAAGAAAATTTCCTAAAGTAATATGATTGCACTATAAATTTGTGAAAATTTTTATTACAGTATATGGTTTGGAGGTGATCCAATAAATGTTTGAATATTAGTCATCCTTCTGGTGAGATGTTTGAAATTTAACTGTATACCTCACAGGCATACAAAGATAACTGCCTGCTTTATCAAGTATCTATACTGAGAACAAGATTACAGACATTGCCCTTAATCTGTAATATTGAGGTGCCCATTATTGTAAGATTTATTTTAGTTTCAAATAGTAGAAAAAGAGAGAAAGCGACTGAAAAGGTCTGCCCTTAATGATACTGTACCCATTATTTTGAGGTGCCCTTTAACACTACCATTACGGGTTGTGTGGGATCCACCCAGCTCATAACCACAAAAGTATCCATGAGAGTAATTATACTATGATTTTTGATAATGTAAGCGTATCTTTACAAAATTTTGCATATTATTAGTAAACATTACAAGGCTTTCGTATGCAAAATAGCAATTTTTTTTATTAAGTTTTAAGATTTCTTAAGTAATGTTTTATCATGCCTTTTTTCTTTCGATTGTTGATTATCCAATATGCAAAATAATTTTGATTTTAAGATTAAAAATACCTTTATGCATCAGAACATTTTCAAATTTCACAAGCAAAATATTTATAACCTCCAGATAATCATCAAATGTTTTTTTAGAAAAAAAAATATATTTTATCTGTTATTTTCAATACTGTATCTTTATATGGGTTGGATCAATTTGACTGACCTTGTAACCACCATAAAAAATTAGGAAATAAATATAAATTATGATTTTTTCATTCTAGAATGACTGCAAATTATAACTCAAAAACACAAATGTTTAGCCTAAATAGCTTAAATCTCATAACATCATATATTTATATATATTTATTACTTTTATTATATTGATCTTTGAGCCATGCCTGGCTAACATTACAGAAGTTGCAACGACACGATACACATGCACTCATGTTACTGTATCCAAGAATATAAAACTGGCCTAAACAAAGTGACCTGT